TACTAAAATCCACATATACCCTTATACCTTTTATTATGAATTCTAACCCTAACTCCTAACTTTAACAAATAAGTTCATATTTCAGCATCATCAGATAACAATGCGTTAAATAATTTACAAATTTTACACGCGATACTAAATTAGATTCAACCAATCAGATTTCATAAATAGTACCATCCCGATGTTACTCTATTTTTCTGAATTAGAATCGAGTAATTCTTGTATGTCTTTGATTATTTTGAATTAAATTCATAAAAGAAATATTGCTAACTTGGTTTTTAAAATAAATTTTTATTATTGAAAACTTACCTTATCTATTATTGTCAAAATTAGATTTCCGCACGTTAATTCTGAAAACCCTTATTGAATCTATTATGCCGAAATCACAAACTTAACCGAATTAGCCGAAAATCATTCTGCCAATTTTTATCAGGTGCTTCAGGACATGGAAACGAACTCAAGGTCGAGAAAAGGTCCAGTATAAATATTTAGTGTACAGGCTGCTCTTTATGCTAATCGCTCTAATTAAGAGTCGTTATATCGATTTTTAAGGATTAATTTTCAAAACTTCATGAATTTCTGCATGATCCGTTGACCCAGTTATAACCCGGGTAAGAGCTCTATGTAATGATTTAGTTGGTGAATAAGTATAACTAAAATTATTCAGGCTTATCTATTAACTAATTTATTTATTCAATGAATGCTAATGTTTTTTTTACTAATGGGTCTATTTAAAGAAGCCAATCGAGTCCATAGCACTTATTATTACGCTACGCTGTATCTTGTATAATTTAATTTTAATTTAATTCCAATAATCAGTTACATACAACTAGTTAATGTCACTTATTGTGTTGTGTAGTGCAAGCGAATATGTATCAGCAAATAAATGAGAATGTCACAAAGTGCTTTAAAATTTATCTTTTGTCAATAGCCAATCGGTTATTTTTATATCATGTGATCAAAATTTTTTAAGCGACTATTCTATATTAAATTCGGTATAATAAAAAAATTCGGTAAAATCAAATATATTTTGTTATATTCATGATATACTTTCAGTTCGCTATTCATTATAGTAGAACTTATTATGAAAAATTCGGTATATTTAATTATTCTATTAATAAAAGAATAAATGTAGTTTATATCAGGGTTATTGATAACCCCTTTTATTTTATAATTGTTTTTGGTTTTTATCAAAATTTAGGGTTTAGGGTGCAGTTTAATACTGAAACAGGGGTTAGATATAATAGTTCAAATTTTAGATTACACAAGGTTTTTGGGTTCTGAACATTTTTACTTAACCTACCTGATTCCTGTTAATTAGTCAATTTATTGAGATATAACACCCCAGATATCAATAACCCCTGTATAAATTATAAATATTCTATAAAAAATTAAAATTAATTAAATAATTCAGTATAGGACAAAATGTGTAATATAAAAATTTGTTATGTCAAGTTTTAACTGTACATATTAAAAAATATATATAAGTTCTGTTTAGATTCAAGTAAGTGAATGAAAGAGAGAAAAAGAGATAATTTTTTATTTGAGAATATAAAAAAATTTTTGAGAACATTAGATAAATAAATATGTTCTCATGAGAACATAAATCTCAAAACAGATTTCCAACACTGGTCTGGTCTGGTCCAGTCTGGTCTATTTTGGTTCAGGTCTGGTCTGGTCTATTATAGTCTTGTTAGTTCAGACTAGAGATGGCAACGGTCAGTCATGGTCGGTCATGGTCAATAACCACCCAGTTATTGCTCAATGACCGACCAACTGCGGTTATAACTGATGGTTAATAACCAACCAACTGACCGACTGATCAACTGACCGCCAACTAATTAACTAACTAGTAACCTTTTTAAAATATATAAATATGTTATATTACCTTATAAAAAAAGTTAATCTGTGTTTTATATTCTGTGTTTTGTCTATAAATGTTGTATATTCATAGTATTTATAACCTTAAATCATGGAGATTATTTGGTCTGTCTAGATTTTGTCAAGCATGTTGTAGATTTATGAAGTTTTCACAAAAAATATGGAGAAATAATGGAAATATTTAAAAAATTTTAGAGTTAGGGATGGCAACGGTCGGTCATGATCAATAACGCCGGTTATTGCTTAATTACTGACCAACCATGGTTATATATAACCAACAGTTAATGACCAATCTACCAATTAACTAACCCATAACTGTTTTAAAATATATGAAAACGTTAAATTTTTAAATTTAACAGTTTATACAGTTGACCCTATGTTATATCAACCCATTTGGGATGAATTATTATATTGATATCTATGAGATTGATATCTACAAGGGTGTTGGTAACAAAGAGATCATTATTTATACAATCCAAACTTGGTGTTTTACTAAGTAAACTGGTTTTTGGTCTAATTAAAGTTGCCAAGGACATTCTACCCTATAAAAAAAAGCAAACTTTATTTTTCTATAATTTCTCCGTGTATAAATTCCATATTTTTTCCATTTAAATTACTAAATAACAGCTTCCGTATTTCTTCATAAATGTAGCATATTTACAGAGTGTTTATGGAGTTATTTTAATAAAATAATGGAATTTATATAGAAGCGTCACTGAAGTTATATTGTAATAAAAAGCAAATTCACATTGAATTATGAAAATTAATTGGAGACTTTGCTGATATATACATAATAATAAAAGGAAAATTTTTCATCAAGCACAGAAATAATGGGGATAATTCACTGAGAATATACTATAATATTATTGAAGTAATGCAGGAATTTTACTGAACCTATATAATTAATGCATGGATAAAATCTGAAAATTGATTTTTGAATAATAAGCTCCTTTTTTTTTTTTTTAAAGATCTAATAAAATAATACAAGTTCTTAAAGAACATTAACGTTATTTTAATTTTTATTATTCCTTGTCTTCTTGGTAACCCTTGCCTTATATGAAAAAGGTTCTTTAGCTGTCCATCCTCTTTTTCTTTTTTTTATCTAAATAAATAAAGAAAATAAAATACATTATCCAATTTGAGAAGAAAAATAATATATGCTCTACCAGTATTCTTACTAATATCATTTAAAGCACCAGAATTTTGTGCATTATATTCAGTTTTTTTGATATCATTACGCTTTTGAACAGAAGAACGAATAACACTTTTTAATGGTGATACATTATTTGCAGAGATTTTATTAACTTGATCTACATTTTATTTTTGAAAAAAAACAATTTTTTTTAGTATACTAATTGCGTGTCTAACTTTGATTGAGGCATAAATTAATCTTATGATAATTTGAAAGGTTTTACACCAATTTGAATATACATACCGTACAAGCGCGAAATAATGAACAGGGGCGTTATTTTAAAATTTGGCCTGAATTAAGCTTAATTTAGGCCAAAATTTGAAATTAAACCTCTGCGCGTTATTTCGTGCTTGTACGATATAAAGTTTTTACCTGCATCGATATTTGTAGTATCTTGATTGTTGTCTTCAATGTTTGTGTTATGCAAACACATAGGAGATCGAGTCTTCCTTTCTAACCTATTTCTTGCAAGGGTTAATGTATCACTTTGACTAGTGATATTTTCCAAATCAGTATATGAAAATGCATTGATGGCAGGTGTTAATGTATTAGAATCATGTGGAATCTCATCTGTATTATCTTGACCGTAGGCTACTAAAAATAAACAATAGATATATATTTAGCCTTTGACAAATATTAAAAACAAACTCATTTTTTGCTAACTAAATATAATTATATAAGTTTAAATATAATTATATAAGTTGAATGACAGTACTTTTAAAACTGTTCCATTGTCACTCAAAGAATTATTAGTCTCATCTGCATCACTTTGGCCAAGAGCGCTTTCAATATTAACATTATTTGTGTTATGCCTTCTAATAGGAGATTTGACATTCTTTTTTTTCGGTCGTAGCATATACCCATTTGCCTTGGCTTGAGTAGCTTTTTTTTTTCCTCTTGACCGACTAATATGAATACAAGTCAAAATATAATTAACGCCCATATGAAGTTATAAAAACTTTTACATCCACACTATTAAATAGTCATATACCATTATTATCATTATTACCCAAAGAATTATGTGTATTATTAGTTTACCTCTATTACATTGATCAATAGCACTTTCAATATTATTTATATTACTGTTTTGCCTTCTAATAGAAGGTTTGACATTCTTTTTTTTTGGTCGTAACGTATACCTATTTGCCTTGGCTTGAGTAGCTTTTTTTTTTTCTCTTGACCGACTAATATGAATACAAGTAAAATATAATTGACGCCCATGTGAAGTTATAAAAACTTTTACATCCACACTATTAAATAGTCACTTACCATTATTATTATTGTTATCCAAAAAATCACATGTATTATTAGTTTCACCTCTATTATATTAATCAATAGCACTTTCAATATTATTTATGTTACTGTTTTGCCTTCTAATAGAAGGTTCAACATACTTTTTTTTCGATGGTAGCGTATACCCATTTGCTTTGGCTTTAGTAACTTTTCCTTGACCAACTAATATGAATACAAGTTAAAATTAATTGATGCCTACGTGAAATTATAAAAACTTATATATGGTACATATATATACTATTAAATAATTACATACTACTATGATCATTATCCCCCAAAAAATCGTATGCATTATCAGTCTCACCTGCATCGCTTTGTTCAGCGGCACTTTTAATATTAACATTATTTGTATTATTGCTTCGCTTTCTAATAGAAGGTTTGACATTTCTTCTTTTCGGTGATAGCGTATATCCATTTGCCTTGGCTTGAATAGCTTTTTTTTTATTCTTTTGACCGACTAACATGAATACAAGTAAAATGTAATTGATGTCTATGAGAAGTTATAATAAAAAACTTATATACCCACTATTAATAGTTCATATGTACCATTATTATCATCGTCACTTAAAAAATCGTGTGCATTATCAGTCTCCTCTGCATCACTTTGATCAAGGGCACTATCAATATTAACAATATTATTTGTGCTACTGTTATACTTTATAATAGAAGGTTTGATATTTATTTTTTTTGATAGTAGTGTATACCTATTTGCAATGGCTTCGACATTTTCTTGAACACCTAAAGTGAATACAAGTTAAATTAATTGATGCTTATGTGAAGTTATAAAAACTTATATACCCATTGTTAATAATTCAACATACCATTATTATCATTGTCACCCAAATAATTATGTGCATTATCTGTATCACTTTGATTGGTGGCACTTTCAATATTAACATTATTAATGTTATTACTACACTTTCTAGGTTTAACATTCCTTCTTTTCAGCAGTAGTGTATACCCTCTTGTCTTGGCTTTAGTAACTTTTCCTTGACAAATTAAATGTGAATACAAGTTAAAGGTAATTGATACCTACGTGAAGTTAAAAAAACTTATATACCCACTATTAATAGTTCATACGTACTATTATTATCATCGTCACTTAAAGAATTGTGTGCATTATCAGTCTCCTCTGCATCACTTTGATCAAGAGCACTATCAAAATTAACAATATTATTTGTGCTACTGTTATGCTTTATAATAGAAGGTTTGATATTTATTTTTTTTGATGGTAGTGTATACCCATTTGCAGTGACTTCAATATTCTCTTGAATACCTAATATGAATATGTACAAGTTAAATTAATTGATGTCTACATGAATTTATAAAAACTTATATACGCATACTACTTATTAACTAGTTACATATGTACTATTTTTACCATTATTACCTAAAGAATCGTGCACACTATCAGTCTCATCTGCATCGCTTTGGTCAAGAGCGCTTTCAATATTAACATAATTTGTTTTATACCTTCTAATAGGGGGTTTGATATTTTTTTTTTTGGTGGCGGTGTATACCTATTTGCTTTTGCTACAGTTACTTTTTTTTTTTTCTCTTGATCGACTAATATGAATACAAGTCAAAATATAATTGACGCCCATATGAAGTCATAAAAACTTACATACCCATACTATTACAATATGAGGTAAGCCACTCATGAAGAATAAAGTCGGCTTCAGAGACAGAAAATGTTGAATTTGCTTCATTAAACTATTATAGATATAATTTTTAACTTGTTTTATTTTTTTATCATTAGAAATGTTTTAAAAAAATATGGTTTTAGCTTTTTTATAATTTCTTTGGCCTTCCCTTTTGGTTAGCAAGATAAAGACACACCACGCAAGAATCGAGAAGCTGCACGATTTCGCAAGTCATTCTAATAATAAAATAATAGAATAAATAGTAGTAAAATACCATAGCAATAATAACAATTATATATAACTTACTCTGAAATTTAGATATTGTTTCTTATCAAGTTTTAAAAATTCATACCACTGCACATTCTTTTTAGCTTTTTTTTGAGTTTTTTTATGGTCTTCATATTCATTGAACGTAATCAGATTCATTACTAACCCTTTTGGAAACTAAAAAACTTATTCATTATTCGATTATTAAATAAAACTTAGTAGTAAAAAAAAAATTTACTTGTTTATTGATCATGTCACGCACTGTACTACGTGCATCTAAAAGTGGTTCCATAAAAGAAGGATTGATAGCAATTAGTACAGAATATAATCGACGATGTTGTTCATGGTTTAGTGCATTTAGTAGAGATGGATCTGTGTCAAATAGTTCTAGAAAAAACTGACGACGCTGTTCAGAACTAAGTGTATGAATATTATTGTATGGCATTTTTAATATAAGTAATTTTATATTTGCAAAAGCAATTAGAGAGTATAAAAACAAATGTAAATTTTTTTATTTCTTGATCATTTACATATCAATTTTAAATATTATTATGTAACTACTGATATTTTTGTTATCAAAAGTATAACGAATTCAAATAAATATACTTGTAAAATATAAAAGTTTTTTTTTTTGTTGCCTTTTTCTTTTCATTTTTTCAATTTTTTTAAATACAGTTATTTCTTATAATCAGTATAAGATGAGTGAAGAAGCTATTTGTACATGTGTTTGGTGTCTACAAAAGTCAGACGGGCAGGGCAAATTAGTTAGTAGATCAACTTGTGCAAGGCACTTAGTAAAACAAAAAAATACTTGGCCTAATTCAGCAAATATTCCAGCTTAACAATGAAAGCTAGTCACTTCTATTGCTCAAATTTCATCATCAGCTATTCTAGTAATAGCATCATTTACTAGACAAGAAGAATTGAATAATGAACATAATCAAATATTAGGAAGCGAAAAAGAATTTGAAGAGTATAATAAGGGGCATAACGATGAATATAATGAGAACAATGATAATGAATGTAACAATACATATAGTAAGTACGATGAAGAAGATTATGAAGAGAATAATGAGAGGTATGAGGAGGAGTACGATGAGGGTACAATGAGAATGATAATAGAGGATATAACTTGGATGGTGTTGAGGGATATGATGATGATTATGATGGATATAATGTAAATGGCGATGAGGAATATAACGAATATTATGAAGAATATAAAGAGTGTAGTGAAGAAAGTGATGAAGAGTTTAATAAAAATTTAGATTTTGGTAAGCCTATTACTAAAAACATAATTCTTTAACATTGTCATATTATATATTAAAAATTATTTCAGAAAATTTATTTAAGGGCTTGCAACTTTTTCGAATTAAAAACAAATATAATATTTCAGACACAGCATTTAATGAAATTCTTGAAGCTTTAGAAGTTTCTGAAATTACACTTTACAAATTACAACAGCTTCTTGGAAATCTTGTATCTTTTAAACCAACACTTGTAAATTGTTGTGTTAATTTGTGTGTGGCATTTACGAATAATCTTATTAATGTGAATTACTGTCCAGAATATAATGAGCCTCACTATAAGTTTGCAAAACATCGGGTGCACCTAGGAAAAGTGCTGTTTATTGGTCACTTATAAGTTCACTTCGGATGCAATATAAAGACAAAAATCGAGCTGAAACTTTTCATTACTGGCATACTTATACTTCAACAAATGAATATATAACTGGCAATCAAATAGGTGATGTTTTTGATGGCCTTCAATATAAATCTTTAGTTTCTTCAAGACTTTTTTCAGGTTATCGAGATATTGCTTTAATGGCATCTACCGACAGATATCAAATCTTCCACCAAAAGTGTAATGATTGTTGGGTTGTTCTTTTTATAAATGCAAACATACCATCTGATATACGTGTTCAACATAAAAACCTGATGATCTCTGTGCTTATCCCAGGGCCAAGAGCACCAAAAAACTTTAATACTTTTTTAGAGCCTCTGATTGATGAATTAAAACAATTACAAGATATTATTGGTACATGTTTTATATAAAAGAAATAAGACCTTGTTAAAAGAAATTTGTTATATTTCTGTTAATAGCAATTTATATTAAATTGCTATAATATATTTACCAAATTTTTATAATAAATTCAGAAGGTATTCAGTGTATTGATGGTGTAACAGAAGAAACATTTATTCTCTGTGCTCATATTTTAAGTTGGTCAGGTGACATTCCGGCACTTGCTAAAATCATGTGTATGACTGGACATAATTCCTATAAAGCTTGTCGGTTTTGTTCCATTTGTGGAGTATGTTGCAATGAAAACCAGCATGTTTATTTTCTGTTTAAACCTCCAAATAATATGTTAGGATACCGTTATGATCCCCAAAATCTTCCTTTACAAACACATGAAAGTTATTTGCTAGATATCGCCACTATAAAATATTTAAATAGATCATTATGCAAACGTGAGGTTCAAGAGAGAGGCAAGTTATTTATTTTAGTATCTTGTAATATTTTAAATAATATGTAGGTAACATTTTATATCTTTTAGGCGTAAATGACCAAAGCATCTTATTTGAGCTTATGTCAATTAGATTTCCTGATTTGTTTCCTGTTGACATAATGCATAGATTATTCGAGAATATTGCACCAGCAATACTTCAACATTGGTCAGGTTTTTTTTTTAGAAATAGTCAATTTTCAAATTCTGAATATATTATTTCTAATAATGCATGGGCTGAAATTGGGAGAACAATGGAGAAAAACAAAAAAAATATGCCTTTAAGTTTCGGTCGTCCACCTATTAATATTCAATGGCATTCAGCAGCATTCAAAGCCGAATATTGGTTAAATTGGATAACACTATATTCAATTCCATTATTGCAGGTCAATCTTCCGGAACGGTATACTTAAAATAATAAATGTTTTGTATTTAAAAGGTTATTAATTACTATACTGTACATATTTATTAGGCATTTAAATAGTTGGACGAAATTCGTGCATGTAGTAAAACTCTGTCTTAAATATAAGATTAATAAAGCAGAATTAATGAAAATTAACAACCTATTTTGCGAATTTGTTACACACTATGAAAGGTATGCTTATGTAATCAATTAAGCATGTAACTTTATTCGCTTTATTTAATAAAAATTTTATTGAACTTTGCTATTACATAGAGATTACCTTCAGAGTGATTCTAAATGACTTCTGGCTGCACTTATTTCTTATCATTACTTATTACATATTGCTACTTCAATTCGCAATACCGGACCTGCATGGGCGACTTGGCAGTACCCAATGGAAAGATTGTGTGGAATGTTATTGCCACTAGTTCGTTCCCGGCAGCATCCATATATTAACCTTCAGAACCAAATTACAATGTGGAATCAGTTTTCGCTCCTTTAGTTTAAATTTAAAATAAACAAAACTCTTTTTACAAGTTTAGAGAAGTCATCAAATCACTCTGAAAACCGCATTTTTACTATTAAAGCATTGAGGAAAAACTATTTTCATTATCTCTTAGCTATTGCATGAACAAGACTAAAACACAGCACCTTATAGTTTATTATGCAACTGCATTAAATAAGACCATAAATCGGTTGAATGTAAGTTTTTTATTTTTATCCTTTGTAAAGTAAACTTACACTTTTCTAACAGATTTATTTGTTTTAAGATGGTTACAAACACTGTTTGAAAGTATGGAAAACTTCAAACAAGACAAGGCGTAATAATCAACTCAAGACTATCAAATCGTAAAGATGACGTAGCACGTATAAATTACTGTATTGCTGTATGTATATCGATATTATTTAATCTAAAATTTTTTTTTTATATTTGGTTTATACATTATTAATAAGTTTACTAACCTTTTTAGGCTAAGCTTCTAGTTGATCATAACGCGTATTATAAAAATGCACCTATTGTTTTAGAAATGCAGGAGTTTTTTGGCAAAGTGTGTTATTTTTTTTCACACCAATATGATAATAAATGGTCAATGTTAACATATATGCAGTGGGTTCGAAACCCTCAACTTTTAAACACGGGCCATTAAAGTTTCGTGATTTGGGCTCATTCAAAGTAATTAATATTAGTGCGATAGACAGAAATGTTGGATTTCTAAAAATGACTAATAATGAAATATATATTATTGATAAGGAAAATCAAGTCAAGTTTCGTTAATTTTAATTTTTTACTACAAAAATACTAAAAAAATAATACTTATATTTCCAATATATATCCAGATTATTTACAGATTATTTACATGTTTATTTTTATATTTAAAGTTTGTATTTTAATAATCAAATTTAATTTTCAATTGTATATAAGTATTTCAATATTCCATTTTAATTCCATATTTAAATGTAAAAAAAATTTCACTATTGATAACTAATAACAATATTATGGAAAAAACTCGGATGTAATATAACCTTGTTGTTATTTTTTACAAATACTTGGAAATTTCACAGAGCTATAGTCATAATAATGGATATTTAACGAATATATTCTGGAATGCATTTTTTTTATAGGATAATGGTAGCAAAATTATTGAATTTGGCCAGGTAAATCATGAGATATTTGTATTTTACATTTAATGATATAAAATTTTCTTTATAAAAAAGATTTTATAGTCGTAAAATATATAATTCAAATTTTGCGTGATCTACTGGGCCAAATTTAATGATCTTATCACTATTACCCTATAAAAAAAGTTAATCCATGTTTTATATTCTGTGTTTTGTCCATAAATATTGTATATTCACGGTATTTATAACATTAAATCATGGAGATTATTCGGTCTGTCTAGATTTTGTCGATCATGTTGCAGATTTATGGAGTATTCACAAAAAATATAGAGAAATATGGAAATATTTGGAAAAAAATTTTTACAAGATTAGAGTTCAAAGAATATCTTCTATGATGTTGATTAGAAGTCAAAAGCTAGTTTGCTTAGTAAAAGATATAAGGATATTTATTACATTAATTTTTATTATTGATCAGAGTTTTAACCAGTCGGTCAAGGGTCTCTGACCGACCGGTATCGGTTAACGGTTATGACTGGTCATGACCAGTCATAACCATAACCATTGCCATCTCTAGTTCAGACCGGTCCAGACTGGTCTGGTCTTAAGACTTAGAGCAGACAAATTTTTTCGAGTTTAGACTGGTCTTAAGACTAACTGTAGCTATTAGTCTAAGCCGGATCACATAACATCCCTAGAGTCGAATCTGGGGTTAATTTACCTAAAAAAACAACAAAATAGAGTCAGTATTTGAACCTTATAACCGAAACGGAGGTTACTTTGTTAAGTGTAATCTGGCATTGTGTTAGAGTAATGTAATTACTAAGCTTGTATTTTTCCTTCTGGCACGTTCTCAGATCTAACGAATGTGAAGTATAAGGATATGCAATTTTTTTTTGTTTCTTGTTGGGTGGGTTATAATAATATTTTTTTTACTCATATATTTTTACTTGATTCAATTCCTGTAATTTTTTTAAGTAATGTATTTGCCGTTGAATACGGTTTATAAAAACGAATTTTTACTTACTATGTTTGTATATATATATATATATTTATAACCACTCAGTATCACCACATCGTAAGTTTATTTGTTTAGAAATATCATTAAAATTTACTGGAGGTTGTGAAACATTAGTAACAGTTTTTACTTTATCTTTCTGTTCTAGATTCGTGATTATGATTTCATGTTCTTCTTAAAGTTTGATTTAATTTTTCATTTTCAGTTTTAACCTTTATATTCTTAGCTTTAAGTTCGATGTTCTCATCCTTGATTTCAGCAGTTTCCTTTTTAAACTTTGCAATTATGGTAATAAATTTTGAATTAAATTCTCGTAATGAAACAGTTTCAAATAAGTCTTTAGATTCATTTTTTGAGTTTGCATGATTAATATTAATTTATATAACTTTATTATAGTTTGGAAAAAGAATTTTATTGTATACGTCTTTAATTTCAAATAAAAATATCGATCATATATAACATCAATATCAATACGTTAAATAAAATTCCAAAATACACATGCATAAGTAAACTGACTATGTGTACAAAATCAGCTTTATTGATTATGATAAAAAATACATGATAAATCACGAATATAACTCAAAGAGAAGTTATAATTTTACTATTTTCTGTATGCCTACGTGATCTATGTACCTGTGTATGAAATAAAAGACTAATATTGACCACTAAAATATTCTATGAAATATAATAAGTTAGCTACATTTAAAAATTCTGCTATATTTCTCGTTTTAACATACCCACAAAATCAACAAGGTTTCCACA